TTTTAGAGGCAGTGTAGTGGTTAGGAGCCAGTCTCTAGAACCAGATGCCCCGGGTTCAAATCTGCCTCTGCCAATCACAACTGTGTGAATTTGAACAGATTGCCTATCGTCTGTTCCAGTTGCCTCATCTATAACATGGGATTAAAAATATTCCTTCCTTCTTAGGACGCTTGTGAGGAGCAAATGAGTTAATATGCGTAAGGTGCTAGAACAGTGCCTGGAATGTAGTAAGAGCTATAAAAGTGTGGCAATATAAGAGCTTTGTGATCCGTTCCACATCACCACAGCTCAGTCTCCTGTCTTCATTAATCCCAGGATCCTAAAGCCCCCACCTTCTGCTCTTGTCCATAGGGGGCAGTGAGTGAGTGGGCTGGATTGGCAACAAGTCATTTTTCCTTTGAAATGCTTGGGCTGGACCACCACCCACTTTGTTGTTTCTTCCCATTTTCTGAGCATCACAAAATGTAATATTCATGTGTCAGGGGATCCAGGATTGTATTTTAACATTTTACAGCCTCTTTGTAAAGCTACCTTTTCAATTTTAGAGGAGGCAGTTTTATGAGTCCCTTTGATAACCACTTAACTATTAAGACCCAAACAAAGAAGAGGAATGGTCAAAGGATATCAGGTACTCCCAGCCAGCTAGAGTCCCACTTCTTGAACATTATTCAAATTAGCTCCAGGACTCATAATTCTGTGTTTTCATTTATTGCTGCAGTAAAGTAAATGGTTCTTTTATCCAAATGTTATTTCCTGGCTATTAATTCAGTAGTTATTTTGGATTGTAGCACTCCTCTTTGATTTAGGGATATGGTGCCTTATAAATATTTAAAAGTTGAAGACTGACACTTGGAGAAATTGACTTTGATTTGTTTTGTTAATATCCCGTGTCTACAGTAATTATAGGTTTGGAAGATGTGGTCCCGTTCTCAACTTATCAAAAGACATGCAGAGCTTGTGTTTCTATAACAAGGAAATTTGGCAACCGAAGGCTCTTCCCAAATCTTTTGCAAACTAGATCTCCATGCACACCTGCTCAGGACACACACTACTCTTAATTCTTCATGATTTCCTCCAGAAGCTGCTCTTGAAACCAGGAATGTGGATGAAAACTATCTGTACTTCTCAAAATAGCTGCAACTGGTCATTTCTAAAAGGCTTGGGACTTTCTCTGCATCTACAAGTGCCAGCAAGGGTTTACGACAGGGCTCAGGGTGATCTATAGACTGGTATGATTTAACTGTGGATCAATCAACCTATTAGGGGAAAAAAGACAAGGTCAATAAGTATGGGTCTTGGTGAACCAGAGGTCACCCTACATTTTTCAACCTAATGTTCTTATTTCCTTTCCATTAACATTTCATAATGAAAAAATGCCTATATTCTTTAATTTTTAAGATAATTAAGTGAATTTAGTGCCTTTGAAGTGTAGAGGATTTATAATGGCGTCAGGGAATATACTATTAATAATCTACAAGACAGAGGCCACCTGGAAAGCAGCACAGGCTCCATTGCCATTTATGCTCCTCAGCAACCAACTGCAAGGGGTGGGGGGGGGGGGGGGGGGGGGGGGGGTTAGACTTCCTTTGCCAACTCAGAACCAGACTCTTCCCCTGGGAGCAGAAAAACTTGTGTCTTTTGGGACAAGGCTTCGACCCTCTTGGGAAGTGGTTTTCCAGTTGTATTAGGGTTTGAACTTGAACAAACTACAACAAGCACAGATACTCTAAGTACATAGACATCCATGAAACATGTGGTGGAAGCAGAGCATCCTTCTGGCGTTTCCCTCAAGAAAGAAACACGGCAGCCACCTCTAAGATTGTTACAGCCTAAAAGGCAAGGTCAGGATTGACACACGTGAGCACACAGGGGTACAGAATAAGAGAAAGGTGTGCATGGTTGCCGCCAGGCCCATGCACAGAGAAACAAAGGTTTCTAAAAACCAGAGGTTGGCCTACTTCTGAGTTCTCCAGGCTGATCATTTAAGGCATCATTTAATAAACATAATTCCAATAATTTTTGGACAATGGTAGAATAAACTCATTTTCTTCTGTTCCTTCCTCGGGCCCCACTAAAAAACAATAAAGGGATTTTTTTTTAAGGCATAAATTCTCAAAAGCAAAGAAATTAGGAGAGGACTGGACAATACCAAAATTTCGAAAGCTAGAAAAAAGATGGATGAGTATTAAGTAATTTAGCAAACCCAAGAAAGCCAAAATAAACCAGCAATGGGAAAAGCTGAGAAGCAAACCAATTTATACCACAGAGCCCCTCTTAGATAGCTCCACAACTGGCTAATTAAGTGCCTTTGGAAGTGGGGATGAAGGTGGGGCTATGTACAGGAAAACAGGGAATCTAAGAAGCAGTGACATCTCCAGATCCTTTGCCTCACACCCCACTTCATAAACACTGGGAGCTGTGTTGGCTTAAGATGGTATAATAGCTGCTCTTGGGGTTCGGAAGACACCAGCATGGAACTTGAGGGTAAGAGTGCATGCTGAAGACACTGTTGAATGAAAAGCTAGGAACCCATGCTGAGGCTCTTCCCCCAACCCCCTTCCCAGCCAGGCTCCACCCACAAGATTCTTCTCTGGGGAATCTGAGTAGCTAAAGAGCAAAGCTCTAAAGGTACCCGCATTTGGTGGCTTTCCCAAGGAAACAGGTCAGTTAGACTCCCCCTCCAGAGAAGGCAGCAGAAGCTCTAACAGGAGCTATAGAGCCTGACTTGTAAACTGAAATTCAAAGATGACCACATAGCTAAGGAAAACCTCTAACACTCTAAAGCCTCTAATATATGAAAATGATTGCTCAAAAGATAAGCTGATTGAGACAGAGACTAAACCATCAGCAAATAAATGGATAAAGAAAATGTATTACAGTTGAACCTTGAATAACATGGGGGTTAGGGGCACCAACCCCCATGCAGTCAAAATAATGCATGAAACTTTTGACTTCCCAAAAACATAACTGCTAATAGCCTATTGTTGACCATAAAGAGTTGGTTAAACATACTTTGTATATTGTATTTATTAGGTACTGTATTCTTACAATTTTGTTAAGAAAATCATAAGAAAGGGGCATCCGAGTCTTGATCTTGGCTCAGATCATACCTGTATCAGGCTCTGTGCTGACAGCGTGGAGCCTACTTGGGATTCTTTCTGGCCCTCTCTCTCTGTCCTTCCCCTGTTTGCACACACACTCTCTCTCTCTAAAAATAAATAAACTAAAAAATAATAATTTTTTTAAAGAGGATCAAAGAAAGAGAAAATACATTTACAGTACTATGCCTTACTTATTGAAAAAAGACACATACAGGGGTGCCTGGATGGCTCAGTCAGTTAAGCGTCCGGCTTTGGCTCAAGTCATGATCTCATGATTCATGGGTTCGAGCTCCATGTCAGGCTCTGTGCTGACAGCTTGGAGCCTGGAGCCTGCTTCAGATTCTGTGTCTCCCTCTCTCTCTGCCCCTCCCTAACTCGCACTCTGTGTGTGTGTGTCTCTCTCTCAAAAATAAATAAACATTTACAAATCTTTTTTTTAAAAAAGACACATATAAATGGACTCATACAGCTCAAACCCATGTTGTTTAAGGGTCAGCTGCATACACATACTGTGGAATATTAGCCGTAAAAAAGAAGGAGATGCTGTCATATGGTACAGCATGAATGAACTTTGAAGAAATTATGCTTAAGTGAAATAAGCCAATCACTGAAAGACAAATACTACATGATCCCACTTATATGAGGTATCTATAGTAATCAAACTCATAGAAACAGAAAATAAAATGGTGACTGCCAGAGGCCTGAGAGGAGAGAAGATGGGGAGTTGTTTATTGGGTGCAGAGTTTCAATCACACAAGATGAAAAAGTTCTAGATGCCTATCGTACAACCATGTGCATATAGATAATACTGTACTGTATTTATTATTGTTCTTCTGTGTTGTGGGGAATAACCAGTGTTTAGATTTTAATCTAGAAATGTAAGCTGTTATGGAGGAGCATGCAGTTGGGAAGGAAGTTCCAGAATGTTTAGAATGTCCAGAGTTGGATTTCATTGCTCAGCCAAAATAATCCCAGGGTACAGATTACCCCTTGCATAATTTATACCCAGAAATTAGACTAGAAATATGAATCCAGAATGTCTCTGATAACCTGAAAAGGTGGAAATGATTCCCTTACCAAGAGTGGCCCAAAGGATATGGTTAAACTCAATGAAATCAGCATGAAAATGATCCCCAAGGATTTTTTCTTCCCTTTAAATTTGTGTGGAGCAACTGATTGACAGCTGCCTAATGTGAGTGTTTTGAAAACCCTGAATACGTATGACCAGTATTGTAATTAACGTTGTGATGTTGATATAGAATGAAACTAAATGATATTGTAAATTTATTCTTTTGATGAAACATATGCTTGTGCTGATCCTCCAAACAATTATATTTTATTAAGAGAACATTTTGTGCCAGAGATGTGATGTCTGATCCTTTTCATCCTTCTGAATATACAGAACACATGGTAACAAAGTGCATGTGCACAGCTACAGGATATAAGGATACAAGAAACAAGGATTTAAGAATACAAGAAACAAGGCAAAGCAGTGTATTCCCATGTCCTCCTCTGAATAGCAGCAATTAAAATTCACAGCTGCTGGCTGCCCAGATGTTTCTTGCATTTAGTGCTTTGTAATATGCATCAGTATATATTGTATGGCTGCAGTTTCAGTAAACTAGGCAGCTTTGTATTCTAAATTCTGCAGACTAGATCCAGTGTGTATATTTTTTCTTCAGATTAGCTTCCTTCCCCCCTCCCACCCTCTTCATTTGCTTGGGGCATTTGCAGTTCAGAAACAAAAGACATTTCCAGCTCAGAGTTTAGCTGTATCAGAGTGTAAGTGCAGGTCAGGTCTGATTTATGTCGCATGTCTGATAAGCAGGAAAGGAGAACAAGATGAGGGTTTTGGAAAAGCTGGTGAACTTGGCTTGACTTATGTCTTCTGTTTTGTAGGCAGCCAACATCCCTCTGGTGTCAGAACTTGCCATCGATGACATACATTTTGATGACTTTTCTCTTGATGTTGACGCCATGATCACAGCTGCCCTGCGGATGTTCATGGAGCTGGGGATGGTACAGAAATTTAAAATTGACTATGAGGTAAGATGTTCCATGTTGGGTGACCCCAGGAGTGTACATGGGACAACATGGTAGCCAGGTTTCCCAAACTGAGTGTGATAATACTCAGCCTGCACACCTCATGGGATTGCCATGAGAATCATGGGAGCTTTGTGGGAGGACTTTGGTTGTTGAAGATCACTCAGACAGAAGGCATCGTTTTGATGACAGCCCACTGGAGACACATACAACTGCCTGATACAACCTCTCCCTTCTCATTTCAGACACTATGTAGGTGGCTCTTGACAGTGAGGAAAAATTATCGAATGGTTCTGTACCACAACTGGAGACACGCCTTCAATGTGTGCCAGCTGATGTTTGCAATGTTAACAGTAAGTGTGTTCAGTGGTGGTGGAAGGTCGTCTGTCATTTGTATGGACCTACAGCCTTCTCCTTCATATTTCAATTTCTCTGACAAATTGCCATATGATTTATTTTACACTAGAACTTACCTGCCCTGGTTATGGGAGTATATATTTCACAACAATTTCTGAACTTTAAAACTGTAAAATCACTGACACCTTGAAGCAGGTGTAGTCTTGGAATGATTGCTTGAGTCTCTTTTCAATGTTTTATCTCGGGAAACTGGTTCTTTTTACAAAAGAAATGCTTGGATTTTCAAAGTAATCTTTTTGCAGAGGATATGGGTATGAGTAACAGAACAAAGAGATCACTAGGTAAGACTCTCTAGGCTGGTGGAAAGCCATAGTAGGGGTGTGTGAGCATTACCCACAGGCACATGGAAGTCCTGAGAGAATGCCAGGGAAGATGGCAAAACATAAGTATTTACATGTAAACATATATGTTTACTTTCAAGCTGCTGACTCTATATGTGTATGTGTATTAACATATTTACCGTATAAAATAGAACACAAGTTTCAGATTATTATAACATAAATTTAAGTAGCTTCCATCTTTGTAACCACACTAAAATTGAAACCCAAGATAGGGAACTCCAAATGACATACATTTTCCTTTGGCCAGATGAATAAGGACCATCTGCACCTTCCTTATGAAGTGCTCTGCCCCGTTCTCTGCCTATTAAAATTTTACTCCTCCGCTAAGGCATTGATCTAATGCCAGTTTTTTCCCAAAGTCTTCCCCTTTCTCCCCAAACATCAATAATTACTTCTGTCTCTGCACTTTGTCTAGTACAACATGTCTTTCTGCTGTGTGTTTTAAGTCACAGATCTCTCATTCTCATGCTATAGAATCAGCAGCTTGAAACTAAAGAGACAATTTCTTATTCTTTCAACATTTACTTGCTTGCCCAACATTTGTTTATTGAGGGCCTCACCAGCATTTTGCATGCAATCATGCACTTGGAACGTTTTCAACAGATGTGTGTTAGATCAACTTGAACTCAAGTGTGCATATAGCATGAAAAGATGGGACCAAAATGTCTTCACTTTTATACTTGAGAACTTGTTTTGGGGTCCTCAACTGCTTAAGGACTAGCAGATTGGCCTAGAAAAACTGGACTGGCCCTGTTCTTCTGTAATGTACCCCATAAAAGCAGTTGGTCAGTCAAATGAGGGAGGAAGATGCTTTGAACTATTAGCCTTAATTGCTTGAGGACCAATGTTGCTTTAAGAAAAATAAATTAACCACTTTCATCTTGTTTTTCCGTATCAGATCTCGATAGACAAAGAATAATTTTCTGTGTGCAGAGTTTATGTGTCTAGCTCACAGAAGACATCCAATAAAGAAATTAACGTGTTATTTTGGAGAACCTCTGGATTTATGGTGGATTGCCAAAAATAAGTAAGCAGGAGCCTTGTTCAATGAAGGAAAAAAGGAATGACCTTGATACTGTGAGTTAGAGATGTCAAAGATAGAAACAGACTTCTATGACAAGCCTTAAAATAGTTGGGATGGGGGAAGTTAGCAAGAGCAATGGCGTCGAGGAGGACACTTAGGAGTAGAAGGAAATACATACAAGTTTTCTTCAGTAAATGTTTCCAAAATACAGACAATCTGGATCCTTTTCAACAACTTGAAGAAAGCAGAACTCTCAAACTCTGTCTCTACAATGGGGGTATTCATACTTCCAGAATATTCCAAGGGTATAGTTATTTTTGCAAGCCTGCTCAGCAACCTTGAAGAGTAGCACTGTGTGAGAGGTTTTCAGTTTTGTTTTTGTATTAATGCTAGCTCAAAAAGAGGAGCATTCTCTGTTAACGTTCCCACCCTGACTTTGAAAAGAATACATTGGTGAATGTTAGTTTTTCTCCCTCACGTTGAATTGAGAAGCCACATCTGGAAAAGATATTATTTCCTGCTCATTAAATTTTGCTGAACTTGACTAGGGGTTACAATAGGTTGAAAATGTCAACTTCTGTCCCTAACACAAGCCGTCTCTTCAACTTGACCATGGGCAGCCTGGTTAATGAGAATTTTTTAACTAAGAAAATAATTATAGAGATGAAAAAAAGATTACTTGGTCAGTGACGAAAAGGGTGAATTTAATTTACTCATCAATTCTAATTTCTGTAATACAACCTCAGCCTATGGCAAAATGATAACCTCCTCACACTCCTGAAGACCGTTAGGAGCTTTCGCTGTTTTGTTCTCATCAGTGATTGTATTTGCATTTGAGTTATCTCATATTGCATTTCCATGTGTTGAATTAGAAACAAGATACTCTCTTAATATAAAAAAAAAAAAAAAAAAAAAAAAAAAAAAAAAAAAAATCACCACGCACCCACCACTGGATTTGGCCTGAGTCCCAAAGCCAGAAGAGCATGGCGCACATATGCTAAGTTTTCCTCTAGATGGCGCTCCAAGGCAAAGTTTCCCAGCCAGTTGCCAGGAAAGAAGAGGGAAAAAACCTTCCCAACCTTCCCTCAAAGTATTTCTTTTCTTCTAGGACAAGAGATAATAAGGCACACACTGCAGCACTCTTTTCTTTAAAGAGGCACCAACAGAACCAGTGTGTCCAAAAAGAGCCCCTCCTATCAGGATGAGCTGTATTCTGACTGCCTTGCCCACCCAGCTGTTAGCAGGAATAATACATGCGACCTTACATCTGTGGGTGTGTGTGTATTTTTCTAAGCCCATTGTCTCTGAGAGTGGGAAGATGCATAGTCCTGTATCATTGCTGAGCAAATTATGACACCATGTACAACAGGACAAGCAAATTGTAAATATACGCAGCAGCTTCCAAACCTTTAACCCTGAAGTCATTTTGAATATGAAAAATAAACTTACTGACTCAGAATTACATTTTGCAAAAGTATTCAACCGCATGTCTAGGTAACGAATAGGTTTTGTTCCTTTGGCAGGGGAGAAAAAAAAGAATGGACCACTTTGAAGAATAGGCGATTTGATGTAAAAGGGTGGAAATTTAGCTCACTGGGAACCCTACTAATGATTTCCTAATTTATTCCATGCCTCTGGCCTGAAATTCCAAATTTTGAAATGAAAGCTTCAATATTATTCTTTGCTTCTAAAGAGATGTTTATATAGTTAAAATTTACCAAATATTTTGGATTCCTTGAATAAATACAGCATGTAGTGCCAGCTAATATTTGTGGTTAAAACAAGGAATAAAAACCTGCAGATCAAGAATAATTATACAAATTCTCTTTGTTTGTGGAAGCTTGTAGAATAAATATTCCATTAAGCACATACATAATGAAAGATGAGAATGCATTTCTTATATTAACATGCAGACCAGATAAAGAAAATGGCTGTGCTTTTGTTTGTATTCTGTAAAATAAAAGGTATGTGGTGGTGCTAAGGTTGCAGAGACATTTTTTGGTTTTATAAATGATGTATGAGTTCTGACAGATTCTCCAGGGGCGGGGGGAGAAAAAGGTTTCCTCAAGAGTCAGTGTTCTTTACTATCCCATAAATGTACTCATTAGCACTTTGGGCCATGCCCTGCATCCTGTAGGGCTCAATAGAGATTCATTTGAATGAGTGGATTTAGTTGAGAGTGATATTATTCATGTTGCTTAGTGTCCAGTTTTTTAAAAAACTATAAAACGATGAACAACTATCACTGTTAGAAATCTTGTTTTTCCTTCATATCACACTAAGGTTCAGCTAGGGTTCATATAGAATATTATGATCCTGCAGAATTCACTGGATATGAAAAGAGAAGAGCACATCTTCACATTAAAATTTATGGTGCTGCTGGCAGTGTGGCGCTGGTGGGGGATTGCAGTTAAACACTAATAATAACCAAGTATCACAGCAAACACATTGACACCCCCTGACATTTACTGGGGGCTTCTTAAATCTTAAATGTGGAGGTAGCGTGTTTAAGTCCATATTTGTGTTGTCAACAAGGTTATTTTCAGAGATAAGCCAAGGCATTTTATTGATCATTCAAACTAGAAAGCAGAAGGGACGTTTAGGGAGAAAAATCCGTCCTATTCACCAGCTTGAGGATAATGTGCTGTCTGCTGTCTGCCATTTTCAGAGAAGTCCTTGATTTTTGAGATAGAAAATTTATTCTGGAAGGAGATCTGAGAAGCACAATTAGAACTCTCCTCCCCACCACCCCACCACCCCCAACCTCCCAAGAAGGACAGAACCAATTAAATTTTTTTAGAACCAATTTAATTTTTGAATAAAATTGTTTTCACTAAGTAACCAGAATCCCAATCTCAACAGGAATCTAATTTCTTTGTAAATCGTAACATTGTGAGGTACAAAGACCTGTTTTGTTCTGTAACTGTGTATAATAAAGTGACAAACAATAATCATGTTTATAATTATCAAACATCATTGTATTTCCTTTTCAATGTAAGTAGTAACTACTCTACCTACCTTAAAATAAATGGTAGCATTATCATAATAATGCAATAAAATCTGCATGTTAGAAAAGCCAGTTCTTTAATCTTCATGTAGGTATGTCTTGACTTCCAGTGTAACTTTAAAAGATGGTAAATATTTAATTTAAGAAAAGAGTGATTTTCAATGTATTTGCAGATTATCAGTACTGGGCACTATAAATTAACTATGGAGCTAATCAATTTGAATACTGTTTAAATTACATTTATGACTCCTGCTTTTTAATCATTTAAGAACATTTCTATTTTCATTCTCTCTGGCCACCTCTGAGAGCCCCAATTAGGCACTCCATGCTTCTAGTTGACATTCCCTTTATCCACATTTATTTTATAAAAGGGAAAAGGCAAAGCTACACATAATTAAGAACCTGTGTGCTAATAACCAAACATACAATTGGGCAGAAGGATAATCCAATCCATTTCCTCACACAGGAGAGTAACCTCCATAACTCACTTTAAGCGCTGCCATTCATGAGTTATGGGTCATTCCCTTTCTAGTGAAAATAAATTCTCCCGCACCATCAGCCAGA